GAGGGGGGCAGGAGCGTGGTGGCTGTGGAGGGGGGCAGCAGCGTGGTGGCCGTGGAGGGGGGCAGCAGCGCGGTCTCTGAGGAGGAGCACACACTCCTCTCCTGCACCCTCTCCCTGAGAGCTCAGCCTTCTGGCACAGGGCCGGGCAGAGGAGATGTAGTAAGGGACAGACAGGGTGGGCCCCGCCTGTGTCGCTGCTTACAAGGAATTTCAGGGGACCCCCAAAGGCCATCTGTGCACGCAGGCCTTGAGCCTTTGTTCTGATATGACACAGATCACACGATATTCTAGCTGTTTACCTTTAAAAAAAAGAATTATTTATTTAACTGTGCTTGTTATGATTTTAATTTGCTATAGGGCATGCGCGCTCATCAGAGAGACAGAGAGAAAGTGAGAAAGCAAGGCCCAGGACTCGTTGTGACCAGCCATGTGGGAGACCAGCGCCTTAACCACCATGCCACCTGCTGGTCCCCTAGCTGTTTACTTTTAATGTCTGTCTTGCTTCTTACACTGGGAGCTCATTAAAGGCAGGGCCTTTGCCCCCTCCATCCCTGCACCCCTGTGTCTATCCTGTGTCTGGCATCCCATTGGGTGTTTGCCGAACAAGTGGGCAGGCAGGGGACAGAGAGGGCAGCGGGCAGCGGGTGTGCAGCTTTACCGTGGTGCTGTTCCTGCCCTGACCCCAGCAGAGGTTTGCTCAGGTATGAGCTGAGGTGGGCTGGGATGGGCAGGCCACCTCCCCAGCCCAGGGCCTTCCCAGTCCCCGGCACAGGGACAAGAAGTAGGCTTCACCAGAGACACCATGCTGATAGCCCCAGATCACACTCCTAAGGCAGAGCATTCTCACCCAGCTCGATTCCTGAGCTGACCACCTGAGTGAGCAGGTCAACCGGGGCCCTCCGGCTGCAGCTGCAGTTCCCACCAACGTCAGCCAGTGCCTCACCACACTACCCACCAGGAAATGAATAATACGGAATGAAGCAGCCGGGGAGACAGGCAGAAGTATGGGTGGAGGGTCGGAAGAGAAATGATGATAATTGCTGTCCGCAAGACGGACGAAGTATCCCAAAGCCCTTCTTTGCTGTCGTGGTTGGGAGTACAGGGCGGGGCTGCGTCCCCACAGAAATGGCTCTGGGCCTGCTAGGCTGGTGTCCTTGGCTGGCTGCTCGTGAGGGCCCAGGGCAGCGCCGCCGCAGAATCCGCAGGCACGCGTGGCCCCGAGCTCTGGTGTTCTAACACCGTTCTCCAGCGGGAGCAGCCAGGGTTCCCTGGAGAAATGGCTGCCTCTCGGAGTGGAGCAGGACGTGTATGATGACCCTGGGTCCGACAGAGCTGAAAACAAAGCAGAACTCCAGTGGCCGACAGAGGAGTCCATCAAAAGAAATGCCAATGGCCGATGTTGGATTCTTTTTTCTTTTCTTTAAAGAACTAGGGTCTCAGGGCACTGGGTTGGATCCCACATGGCCTACTTAACAGTTCAAGTCCCAGGCCCCATGGCCTGAGCACATGGGCATGTTTGCCCAAAATTGTGAGAGGAGATGGAGGAGACAAGTCCCAGGCCCCATGGCCTGAGCACATGGGTATGTTTGCCCAAAATCGTGAGAGGAGATGGAGGAGAAGGGGCTGCCATGTGATCATGCCCCTGGGGGGCGAGTTTTCACTTTCCCCCTCGCTCTGTCTCTTTCCGTCTGTCTGGTGAGTCCATGTCCCATATGGTAAAAACTCTAAAAAAAAAAAAGAGTCTTACTGTGTTGCCCAGGGTAGGCGGGAACTATTCATTGTAATCCTTCGGCTCGGCCTTCCAAGGAGACGGACCTGACCGTGCCCAGGCTCAGCGCTGGGCAAA